TGGTGGGAAGAAAAAGAATGATTCAGGAAGAAAGATTTTATTTGTTACTGTTAGTCCGCCATCTTGTAGAATTTTATCATTGTCACGACATATTAACACAGTCAGATGTTCAAAATTTATAAAATATTAGTACAAAATTTATAAAATGTTAGTACAAAATTTTAAATAGATATATTTTAGGACACAATATCTGTTGAGTAACTTTTGAAGTGACCTTGAATGCAAAAGACATGCGCAGTACTTAACTGTAGACGATAATTATGCGCACTAATGCTAGTATACTTTATTATAGCATGTGTATTGTATGTACTTTACTGCGCAGGTTTATTACTTTCCGTTATCTACTGCGCATGTGTTTAATATTTAAGATGGCAGTCAAAGTGACTAATGAAACTGAACATTATAAATAATATTAATATTACAGACAGTTCTAATAATGTTGTACACAATGAAACACTTGAATAAATTACAATATAGTATATTTTATAATACAGAGTTTTATATCTCGTCTATTAATTCCATAAATCCTGTAAAAATTATTTTATGAAACATATCCTATGTTCGATATAAACGAAATACTTTGACGTTCGTTACAATACACTATTTACACAACGAATTTCTCCGCGAAAATTGAAAAAGCAAGGACTGTCGAAGAATTTTCAGAGGGATAATTATACAAACCACAAATGCAAAAGTTTGCTTTCCCCGCGAACACCGGCAGATTTTTCAGGCTTCTTTTTCACGCTGCTTCCTGCACTTTGTAGAAATAACGAGCCGGTCGATACAAAAGAAGAAAGGGAACTTCAGATGAAATTCCCGGCTCTTTGATACTGTGTTAGCAAAACGGCGAGATTTCTGGTAAAAGAGATCCGCGATGCCTTTGAATTCGCTTCGTTTGATCGTCATTTATTATTCTGCTTATTACCGGCTGCTCGGATGTCTATTTCGATTAAAATGTATTCTTTCGCACCAAAGGACAATGTAACCTTTTTATGCAATTCTAGAAATTTTGGGAAAGGTCAGAATTTGGGGATCAAAGGCTTTCTTAGTTTCACAAATTAAATTTAAAGCTTCAGAGTTTGGGAACCTGGAAATTTAGGTATGTGGACATCTACATAATTTCAGAACATGGAAATTCTAGGATCTGAATGTTTGCAAATTATGGAAAGGGGGGTTTGAAAATCGAGGAATCTTTTTTCAATAATTTGTTTATTCAGGATGTTTGGTACAGTGAATGTATACACATGAACGATGCTGTTGATACAAATATATAGAGAATGCTAAGGTTCTAACTCACTCACTCATCCACAAGGTGTCTCAAACAGTTCACCCATATCATACAATGCATCACAGCTGACTTATATAGTAATTTCTATAGTATACACATGAAGGATGTTGTGGAAGCAAACGCATCAAGAGTGCTGGTCCTTCATTCATCCACAAAATGTCTCAACTAGACCATCCACATCATACAATGCATATCAGCTGGCTTGTAGAGCAACTGTATATGAAGGATGCTGTTGATGCAAAACTATTTAGAGTGCTGGTCCTTCATTCATCCACAAAGTGTCTCAACTAGCTCAGACATATCATAGAATGCATAACAGCTGACTTATATAGTAATTTCTATAGTATACACATGAAGGATGCTGTTGAAGCAAACCCATCAAGAGTGCTGGTCCTCATTCATCCACAAAATGTCTCAACTAGACCATCCACATCATACAATGCATACCAGCTGGCTTGTACAGCAACTGTATATGAAGGATGCTGTTGATGCAAAACTATTTAGAGTGCTGGTCCTTCATTCATCCACAAAGTGTCTCAACTAGCTCATCCACATCGTACAATGCATAACAGCTGACTTATATAGTAATTTCTATAGTATACACATGAAGGATGCTGTTGATGCAAACCTATTTAGAGTGCTGGTCCTTCATTCATCCACAAAGTGTCTCAACTAGCTCATCCACATCGTACAATGCATAACAGCTGACTTATATAGTAATTTCTATAGTATACACATGAAGGATGCTGTTGAAGCAAACCCATTTAGAGTGCTGGTCCTCACTCATCCACAAAGTGTCTCAACTAGCTCATCCATATCATACAATGCATAACAGCTGACTTGTATAATAATCTTTCTCGTATACACACGAAGGATGCTATTGAAGCAAACCCATCGAAACCCATCCACAAAATGTCTCAATCAGCTCATATCATAAAATGCACACCAGCTGTCTTGTAATTTGTACAGTATACACATACCGTTGCAAACCCATCGAAAGTGCCTGACCCCATCCACAAAATGTCTCAACCATCTCACCCTACGATACATAACAGCTGAACACTTTGTATAGTAACAGTATACACACGAAGGATGCTGTTAACGCAAACCCATCGAAAGTGCTAAAGTCCGTATCTCTCCTAGCAGTTTCTCTCTCCTTCTCCCTGCTTGTGTCTCGAAATACAAATCCGACGAAACTCGACCCAGTCACGTAGCGTCGAATCCCGAAGTTAATAAAGGACATAAAGGAGCCGTTGTAAACTACTGGCTCGTGAAAAACACTTAGGTGCACACCAGTCGGCGGGCATTAAGCCCGGCCCGCACCTGGTCAGACCCGGGAGGACCACCTTCGCCAAACAGAGCGAGAAAATTGCGACGAGCACGTTTTCGCAGGTACTGCTCCCGACGATTCTTCAACAGATGTGCCGCAGAACCTGTCGGTACCTGCGAGCTTTTCGCGCAAAAATCAACATTCTAAGTTCGGAGGGCCCGTTATATTTTTATTCGAGGGAAATTGACTGCAAGATGTTCAGTTTTGTGGTGGGCAATTAGCGGATGCAGAGGCAATTGAGGTTTTGGGGGACGGGATTTAAGGCACGTGGATTTAGGGGACGAGGAAGTGCGAGATTCGGGACAGGGTTGTTTGAAGATGTGAGTATAGTTTTTTACAAATTTTATTAGCAAAGTGTGGTAAATATTTTTTGGGGACATTTTTAGGGGAAGATGTGATCTGAGTTATTTTTTTTTTTGCACATTTTTATTGTTGCAAGATTGATTATTGAAAGGGTTGAAATTTGACTGTTGTAGAATTTGTTATGCGAAGGAAATTTTTATTTTAACTTCAAATTTTTTGGTTTGAAAATTTGGAGACATTTGACCTAACCTAAAAATTAGATATTTAATGATTTATACCAATTTTTCAAACTAAGTATAAAGACACTAACTTTGATAAAATTGTTAATTTAACAGAAATAATTATTCTAAATTTCAAGTTCATATTATTGGCATAAAATTGACTTTTGGTATAAATTCCTGGTGAAACTAATTTAAAAATGATTTACTTTGGCGATGACAGCCACATCTGTCATTCTGGGACTTTATCAGAAAATGAATATATTTTTAACAACAGTACAGTATGCTGTGATAAAACGTGACAATATAAAATTTAATTGATTAAAATTTAATCTACAATATTCAACCCCTAACAGGACAAACATTTCCCAAGGAAATAAATTTGTTTTTACGTAAAATAAATTACTAATAATTTAATTTATTTAAAATGAAGGGTTAATAATTAAATTCTCTGAACATGAAATGTTAATAATTAAATTCATTCAAAATAAATCACTACCAATCACATTTATTTAAAATGAATGGTTAATAAATTATTTTGATTACAAACTTCAATGTCACAAGTTTAAATTATTTTTCTCAACTGCACTAAATCTTCAGGATATTTTGTTTATTATTTATGAACAATCTTTATATTTTAGAATAAAAAAATTGAAATTAAATTGAATTAATTGAATTTTCGTATAATTACAAGAATTACACAATCATCGAGAATTGCAAATAAAAAAAGCAGTACCGAAACAATAAAATTAAACGACCGTTTTATATCAAGCGATTAATAGCACCAGTTGAATTTATTTGTAAAATTCAGCAAAGTGACGGAAACATTGATGTTAAATTGCTCGTTCGATCGCTCGAGTTTAACAATGGACGATCGATGTTTGTTAATGAATCGCAAATATAAAACGACGAACGAAAATTTACGCGTAGGCCGTACGGAATTTATATTCTGTTCGTACGTTCTTTTAACATACTTGATAAACGGAGTATCGATAAGTGACAGCGGTAAGACACTTTTATTTTCAATTTCGTTGTAAATATTTATCACTTCACATAGTTTAATTTTTATAGAATTTTATTGAATATCATATTTTTTACTGTGTTAAATATTGTTTAATACTTTGCAACATGCTAAATATTGTTTAATACAAGTATTTTATTTTAACATATTATATTTTGTCATGAATTGCGTTTTAAACTTGTCAATAAATTTTGAACAAACTTCATATGTCAACACAAAATCTTTTTAAACAAACTTTAAAATCCGGTCTATTTATTTAAACATAATAAATCAAGTCGATCACAAAATCAACTAAAAACAAAACTATGATAAATGCTTCTGAACTACCATTACCCTATGGCACTCAGCGCAACAGTCAAAAATTGTCGTCCAATGCCCCACCAAATTTAATTCAAATCCGCACACAGTCCCTCAACCACAGTGTCAAGCATCACACCTTGACTCACAAACCTCAAGAAAATTCATAGCACTTCACTCAAACGCACAATAAAACAGATCACGTTAATACTAGAAAATCGTACAGCACAGTATCGAGAAAATATCAGAGTAGAAGAACGACAACACGCACTGCCAGACGTCCGGCGAGAGAGTGCTGTAAAACCGTCGAGTGTAGTCTGTTCCTGTGGTGCGGTAGTGCATCTCGTCCTCCGATTGGGTCCCGCTCACCCCCCACGATAACCAGCCTCTCGACGGAGCCAATCAGCGCGCTCGTTGCCCCTCCACTCGGCTAGACCGCGTGTGCACCCACGCAGGGTGGCTCGTGGCTCGGTAGTCACTCAGTCAGTCACTCAGTAGGCCTGCGGTGCGCTATGAGGTGGGATCTGTGAACAAACAAACCGCGAGTTTTTATTTACAGCCCGTTGTTGCGGGATTTATCTCGTGGAACGGTCATATATCGGGTACGTTTGGTGTCCGCACGGCTCGAATCCTCGCCACTGCACGCACGCGGGCTAGGCCTCGGACAAAATCCCCCGTCGCGATACATTTCACGTATGGTCTCGCGTGTCCTCTGCCATCTCGTCGCGCGCGAGCTACGTTTCCATCGATCGTGACCGGCGCCCCGTTGTTTTGTGCACGCGACGCCGCTCCTTCAAAGTGCGCGCTACCAAGGTGATCGTGATACCGCACAAAACAATGTGCGTGACAGCCACGCCGCTTAGCGCGACCAAAATACTAAAGGATAGTGCGAGATACCCGGCCAGAACTAGCATCGCGACCAGTGTACAGGTGCAAGGATTAACGGGAGCGAACAATGCCGGAGATGCGGACAGGCCGCAACACACGTCGATCATGTAAATAACAATACATTATATCTATGACGAATTCTAGAAACATTTCGACCACGTGGTCGACGCGGTCATAGTCCTATGCTTTTCAGATCATTACTGAAAAATCTCATTGAACGTTTAGGTTTATAGCTATGATCGGTTAGGACGGTTGTGTCCCTTTGTTGTGGTGTTTTTCTTGAAGTCTGAACTGATTTTTATTGAAGTTTCTAATGTATTTAATAATTCATGTTTTATCCTATATTTTTAATTTTAAATTTCGCGCTCTTTTTAGGGCGGTAGTTTTAACGCATTTGACGCTTTCTGAACATGTGTGTGAACATCTTACTGTCATTATTATACCATTTTGTACCATAGCTCTTTTTTATTGTTACTAGAATAATCTGCTTTGACCTATTATACAAAGTTAAAAATTTTCAGATACAAAATTTCTAACTTAACCCTACTTAAGTTTCATCTAAAAAATTATTGACAATAAAAACTTCAGGAATGTGTTAATAATGTTTGAAAATTCCCCCATATTTGACTTGTAAATGGTCAATATTCAAGGTTAGAATTGCATTCCTTGACCTGAAAACAAATTGGACATCAATTTTTATGAACGATTAAAAACCGTGTTATGGCAATGAACCGAGATCTCATGGAGTACAATGCATTCTTTTATATGATGTGAAACGGCGAAACAATTGCAGAATAGAGATATTCAGATGTTTTCGTGGATAATGACAGTGTGAAGAAATCCATGAAATGTAGAATATTTAATGCGGGATATCTCCATTGATAAAACTGAATTTTTATGTGGAATTACGTGCTCTTTGAGAACTACATTCGAGAAAATTATGGGGACATAAATAATTTATGATTAATTAGCAGAATTAGATGTTTATGACAATTGTAATTGTACATGTTACTATTTGCAATTGTTCTCATTACAAATTTACTATTTTACAAATTTACAACTTTACAAATTTAATATTGAAGAGATGGAATATTCTGTATATAAGGTAGCGTGAACCTAACGTCACCTGGCTAGACCTAACCTAACTTCATTTAATCTAAGCTAGACCTAACCTAATTTCATTTAATCTAAGATAGACCTAACCTAACTTCATTTAATCTAAGATAGACCTAACTTAACTTCATCTAATCTAAGCTAGACCTAACCTAATTTCATTTAATCTAAGCTAGACCTAACCTAACGTCGTTTAATCTAAGCTAGACTTAACCTAACTTCATCTAATCTAAACTAGACCTAACCTAAATCTAGTTTAAACTTAATCTAATTCCAATTACCAAGTATAACCTTATCTATGCAATATACATAGAGTAATTAAGCTTCCAAGTAATATATTAATATTTCATAACCTAATCTAACTTAATCTAACTTAGCTGTAATTTCATCTGATTCATCTTAGAATCCTTGAACCACCACCAAAAATTTGAATAAACCTTCCTCAAAAATTTCAGTATAATATTATTTATCGCCACTCCATTGTGGCCGTCGCCATTCTTGTAAATCACACAATCACCAACTTCATTGCTGACAGAAAGGTTACCGTTATTTCCAACATTTCTAACGACATGCTTGCGTAATAAATTTCTCGATAAAACGTGCGAAATATGCTTTGAAGATATTCTGACATTGAAATGATCAACAGGGTACACGCATCGACGAAACGTTTTTGAATAGGGAGAGAGAGGACAGCTTCTGAAATTCTCTCAGCTGGCTATGTTTCAACGCATTCGATCTGTCGGCACCATCTGTCGAACGAGAAACGAGCTTTTTTTTTCCTCGAAGACTAGGAAAATCGAGACGGTATACGAAAAGGCGACTCCATTTTTTTTTTTCTTTGGGCGTCTGCTTATCTTCCTGCCGCCCTTTATACCCTTACAATTATCGCGTTAAAAAAATATCAATCAACGTATATTAACCGGAATTTATTTACGTATTTAATTTGTCTATAATTTTAATTTGTTTTCGAAAGAATCAGAAAAGTAATTGCTTAAATTTTGTTGGAGATAAAGCAAGAGAACTAGGTATGAAAAATAGTAGGAGTAACTGTTTCTGTTGCATTAAAATCATATTCTATTAAAACCTATAGAAGTATCTAATAATATATATTAATATATGCATACAAATATATATAATAATTAGTATAAATACAGTTCTAATTATTTACACTGCAAGTGTTGTTCAAATGAAAGTATTTATCAAGACAGATGTGGAAAAGTGATTTTAATGTTTAAATTCCGCGGGTCGTACAGCGCATGCGCGAAGGACAAGGCGCGCAAATACACTGCGCATGCGCAATGCACTCTACCTTACTCTACTAACATTTCTCTACTATTTTTAACAAATGTTAGATCTGTGGCAATGAAAATTGACTTGTGACAACTTCTTACTGTACACAGAAGTTGAAAACAATCTTTATTTCAAGAAATATGGTGATTTTGTTGTACAAAAACATTAAATTAGTGTTTCTCATAGATCATATCCATTGAAAGACCATTTATATTGATCAGTTGTGAACAAACTCAAATTTTTGTCATTGTTAATAATTATTGGTAACTAAAATTTACTTCTGTCGTCAACAATGGTCGCCAACTATCAAAAACAATTTTAGTTACTCACAAAAAATTGTTTACAAATGTAACAATTAAAAATTGATATCTTAACAATGTTATTTGCAAAAGTCCAGAACAACTGTATCATTCGAGTCAAAATGACTTCCATTTACAAAATATTCTTTTCAATTATTCGATAAATTCTACCCGATAAATTGCATTTAGGTTAGGTGTTACCCGGTTTCCGCGTAGCGTCAGTATATCGTCCCATTAGGTTCGTGTTAATGCAAACTCATCCTATAAAGTGAACCCCGGCCATCATCCCTTGTGCCTCTGGTGACGATGAAAATCGCCTTAGCATTGTTTACCTCCGCCATTCAGTTTTTCGTCCGCCGTTGCCAGCAGTGCCATGAAACGACTTTGTTTTCCTTACGGCTTTATTCGCCGAGAGCCCGACGAATAAATGAAAAATTAAATTTTCGAACCACCACGGATTAAATGGTCGCCGATAAGTTTCCGCTGCCGTATTTTCCAGCCGCGCCTGAATTCCCTCCTGTCGTGCCTTCCTTTTGCCTCGCTTTTTTATACCAGATATCTAACCTCCAATTCTAACGCCAGGAATTAACGTTGATCGCGGTAAAAAACATTTGAATGAAATTTTTTTTGGAAATATCTTTTGGGTGTATTCTGGGAAGTTCAAGTTTTTTATTTGGGGGGTTGGAGATGGGGGTGAGAGGTGACAGTGATCTGAATTTAATTTTTCTTTTTTATAAAATTAAGTTAAATATTTATTTCATTGAAATTTTTTTGGAAATATCTTTTGGGTGCATTCTGGGAAGTTCAAGTTTTTTATTGGGGCGTTGGAGATGGGGGTGAGAGGTGACAGTGATCTGAATTTCATTTTTTATATTTATTTTAGTTATTTACTGTTTTTATTGGAAATTGTATATTTGTTATAATTTGTACTTTTTGTTATGAACACTACTTTTTATTATTAACTGTGCTGTTTTTTATGAGCTGAATTTTTGCAAACTTTTTACAAACTGTATTTTTTATAAATTTTTAAATATTTATAGTTAATTGTACTGTTATTATATACAATATTTGTTATGAACACTACTTTTTATTATTAACTGTACTGTTTTTTATGAGCTGAATTTTTGCAAACTTTTTACAAACTGTATTTTTTATAAATTTTTAAATATTTATAATTAATTGTACTGTTATTGTATACATCACTTTTGTAATACAAACCATACTTTTTTCTTATAAATTCTACTTTCTGTATTGTTAATATAAATTCTTCCTCTGGTCTTCTTACTTAAACTAAAAGTTTCAATTTCAAAATTTCAAAACCAATCTTTGCAAATAAACCAGCAAAATATTCAAATAAAAAAGCAAGCCCTAAATAACTTCTTAAATACCCAGCTTATTTGTTCGTTGTTGAAAGAAGTTAACTCTGTCATTAAGAGGTTAAACATGTAAGCAAAATTCCTACAAGGAATAAATATTCTTTTATGTCCCACTCGTTGCAACAATGCGACGGGAAATTTGCATGAAATCGTTCGTTAGATAGTCAAAATTATTACACGGTAGAAATCCATAGCAAAAGTTCTCACGAGAGCTGTGTAATCTCGTTTTCTTTTCGTAAGATGCAGAACGAGAGAAAGCAGTCAGTCAACGACGTTCGTTATAATCCCATTGTCCCTGCTGTCGTTCCACGGAAAAATAAACAGAGTCAAAACCATCGTCGGACGGCCATTTGCACGAAGGATTCACCTATTTAGTCGGAATTGAAACGAAAACATACGAGTGGCAAAAAAGTGGCGCCATGTTATTTCGCTCCTTTACCGATTAGTGTACATACTCTTTTTTAATTGATATTTTGCTTCAAACACCTTTCAATGAATTCTACTATTTTTACCTCTATTATTTAGCTTGATAATCAAATACTTGTAATTCAAGGTAAAATATATTTTTTTGTAATTTTTCAAATTTAGGAATTTTAAGATTAAAATACAATTTTTGTATTTAAATAAATTTGAATAAATTTTAAAGTGTGATGAATTAATGTTTAGAATATATTTAATATTTGATGAAAAATACAGGAGGCAAGATTCTGAAATTTTATTTAAACGAAACGTTATTGATTTGTTATGTAAGAGTCGTTAAAAGTATTACACATTCACAGCCACTATTGATTGTTTTGCACGAGGACGATAAAGGTGAATTTTATTTTCGTCCGATTTACGAGCTAGATAGATAATAGCAATTTACACGTAGTTTTTATGAAAGTTAACTGGAATAGATGCAAGCCGATATTATAGGGGACGATGTTAATATTTTATTCCCTTCGTATTTGGAAAATTTTGTTATTTTAATTTTTGAGAGACGAGGGAGTTTTATATATAATTAGGTTGAATTAACTTTGAACACAAAAT